AGCTTTATGCCCTCCTGCTCAGCATCGGGAATGCCTCCCTATCAGTGCCACCAGTGGCAAGGCAAGGCAAGGCAAACAGCAAAGCAAACAGCAAAGCTTCAACCTCATGCAAACCTGCTCTGGTCGGGAAAGTCGCTCAGCACTTCAACAGAATGATAGTGGCCTGCCATCTACTGGGAATGCCTTAGCTTGGTGCCCGCCATGAGCAGGAGGTACGGCTGGATAGCCTTGTAGGCCCCTTCCCACACTACTGTTCTAGGGTTTTGCGAAAGGAGCCTGCTTGACGTCTTGGCTCCATACGGCTTCCCTGGCCATCGCTTTGGCCACACTGACCTCCCTCCATCCCAGCTCTGAGGGCCTCCTCTTCCTCACAGTGCCTCCTGTGAACATGACACTGAACGGGAAGCAATGCAGAGGCTGCTTCTCTTTGTGGGGAACTGGATGTGAATGGAAGGAGTTTGCTCAGTGCCAGGGTGACCAGAGCCACTGCCTCGAGATCAGAGGGATCGGCATCCTTGAAGGCCCCCACACCCGCAGGAGCAGAGGTAAGTCATTTAATTTTCATTCTCTTATGCACACGCTCACACACGCACTTCCATGCACACACACTGCAGAAAACCCAGCCTAGAATGCAACCCCAAGAGGGTTGTGGGGGGGTTTCTGTCACACCACTGCTTGAGAAAAATGTTTGCTTTTGACCTGGAGACCCCATTTTGCACCTTCCAGACTGAATTTGGAGTCAGGTGCCACCTGCAGTCAAAAACAGGCACAAAAATATTGTGTCATGCACAAAAGTGCAACACAATGTTAGGGAAGTGTGAACAGGGATGTCAGAGACTGGGTCTGGATGTGGCAGATCAGCTTTCTAAAGTCTCATGGAGCCTTTGGGGTCTGCAGGGATTTTTCTAATTTTGTACATATAGGAAAAATATACAACGTTTCAAGCAAAACCCAAAATGCACATTTTCTCCATGCACACAGTAAGGCATGACAATATGTGCTATCATGAGATTTGAACATTTTCAGGAGCACTCATTTGCACAAAGCTGAGTCTGTACAAATAAGTGTGAACACACTTGTGTAAATTCCGAGTCTACAGATTGGCAAATGGTGGAGCAGGAATCATTTTAAAATCTGCAAAGTGCCGGCAAAGCAAGTTTTCCCTATGGTTGTACATCTCTGTGCATGAATCAGCAAAACTCAGATTCACACGACTCAAAGCCAAATTCCATCTTAAATGTCACTTTGACCAGAGCCCATCTCAGTTCCCAAGCTATTTTTCACCTTTTAACATGAAAATCTATGCCTATTTTCCCCAATGCAGGCATCAGTGGTGCATAACTTTGAAAAGCCCACAACTCTCCCATTGATTAAAATGTATCCATGCATATTTTGCAAAAGTGTGTGTTTTTCAAGGCTATTTTTATATCATGACATCACTGAATGCATTTTGGGTGGCCTGCGAAACACTTTCCCAGCTTGAAAATGCATGGCCCGGGACTGCAGATTCAATGCAGAAGGTGGAAATCGGGTATATTCTGATCAAAAAGCCATGGAAGTGAAATTGTGGTCTGTTCCCCAAAATACAGGGACACCTTCTCTGGTTCTTAGCTTCCCTCTCCCCATCTTTGGATCTGGTTCTTGCTCAGGTATGCAATTACTAGTTTTCCAACCGAGGAAAACCACTGAGGACATTGGTCAGTGCAGGACATCTCAGTTTCCCTAGTATTGATTATGTTCTCTTTCCATTCTCTCTGCAGGAAATCCATCCAGAAGCATGAGGGTTTCCATCATGGGCTGTGTTAACCAGGCTTATTGCAATGAATTTCACGAGGGTGTGATATATGTTTCCACACTGACCATCGTTGGAAGAGGTAGTTGCAAGCTTGCCAATGATGTTGCTTGCTCCAGCCCCAGATTGTTTATGTCTTTCCCGCTCACCACATTCCTGCTAGTGAAAATGGCTTGATTTCCCTTCTGCAGAACGATGAACGGATTGTACTTGAGCAGTTCCATCTTAAATGCTTGTCTGGCCAAGTCAGCCCGTAAAGTTCCAGTGAATGAAGAGCTCATATTGTCCAAAGTACAAATGCTTTCTCATAAAGTTTCATTTTTCAAGGTTTGCTTTTTGATTTTTAAAATTGTTTTCAGCTTGGTTTTCATAGTACATATTTTTATTTTTATTTAATGTATTTAAAACATTTCTATCCCGTCCTTCCTGATAAAATGTCTCAGGATGGCTTACAATGATTAAAATAGAATATAATAATACAATAATTAAAACAATATATAACAAGTAAACCATAAATAATCAGTCAATCACGTCATACAGTCATTATTTGTTTTTCGGCACCAGGCCAAGACCTTTTTATTCAAACAATATTTTAATAATTGTTAATATTATTTATTGGTTTTAATTTCTATAGCCAGGGTGAATCCAGATTTTATATTTTATATGTATTATTGTTTATTTATTATGTTGGAAGCCGTTCCGAGGCTTATGTGACTGGGACAGCATACAAAAACTCCAAATAAATAAATAAATAAATACGTACATACAAAGTCAAGATCTTTGTTGATCAGCATTCAGAAAATGCTTGGTGGCTGCAAATTGGCAACCAGTTGGTTGGTTTCTGTACCTTCAAAGTGGCTAAATAAATAACAAAATGGCAGTTATAGTGTATCTTCAGGAATCAGGTCCATGGAAAAACCAAGGGAATCTGGTGAAACCCTTTTCAGTGAGAGTCCTCATCCTTCTCCGATTTCCGTCTCAGCTGGATGGGTGCTGTCGACACGGCTCCATGGGCAGGAACCTATTTTGTGGAGCAGATCCTTCCCCTATTGCTAGGGATTTAATGATTTAGTTCAATCTATGCCATCAGAAGTGGCTTCTTCTATTGTTCACTCATTGACAGAATCAGGTTCCCCCCCACCATGCTTCAAGAAAAAAAAGTCCAGTACAGCGTATATGACTTTTGCACGCATGCATGCAATGTTTTGCTGGTTGTGTATGCACACACGTGTTTGCTATTTACATGCCACCTTTTTTCCTTCCAAGGAACTGAAAGCAGCTTACATAATTCTCTTCCTCCTCTCCATCAGCAACCCTGGAAGGTAGGTTGGGCGGAGAGCCTGTGACTGGCCCAAAGTCACCCAGCTGGCTCCATGACTGAGTGGAGGCTAGAACCTAAGTTGCCTGAATCCCAATCCTGCGCTCTTAATCGCTACGCCACACTGGCTCTCCTTTTTCCTTAGCTCGGACTTCAATGAACGAACAGCACCCAGAAAGAGAGTTCTGCGCAGGAGAGGCTGAAAAGAGTTCCAAGATGTAAAACATGCAGTGTGCGATTTATTTTAAAAAGTGTATCTGTTACTCTGTTTTGCAGTAGATTCTGCATACCTAAATTTGTGTACCATTCTGGAGAGAGAGAAAAAAAGGTCCACAAATTTGCTGGATCTGCAAGACTCAGAAGATGCTAGTCTAGGTCAGAATACATGAATCAGATTCCCAGAAATCCAAAGTCATCTGACTCCTTTGTGGATTTCTTTGGCATCTCTACCTGTTGCGTAATCACAGAGTGTGCAAGCACACAGGAGTCTTCTGGAGCAGACTGGAAAGCAACTCCATGGTTAACAGCCTGGAGCCACCTGGTCACTGGGGTTGCGCTGATGGTGTGAACAGCATTTTTGGCTTGCGCAAAACGGATGTGGGAAGGATCCTGGAGTTTCACCTCTTATATGGTCACCTGGATCATTGCATGGGCTGTTCCATAGACAACATCATAAGAGGAAATTCTCACAAAGGGACAAGTTCAGGGTAGGAGCTTATGCTGAGCAATGGCAGCTTGGATGGATGGATGGATGGAAGGAAGGAAGGAAGGAAGGAAGGAAGGAAGGAAGGAAGGAAGGAAGGAAGGAGAAGCAAGCAAGCAGAGGCTGAGACAGCCACTTCTCATGTGCAGGTACTGGAGTATGTTCTGGTCTCCTCCAAGTAAGGTCTTCTCCAAGCTCCATCCTCATTTTTTCTCTGCCCTAGTCAGCCTAGTCAGCTCCAGAATTGCAACTGCAGCAGGGGGGGAGCTTATTCAGCGTGCTGTGAAGGATGGCCCCTTTCTGTGGTGCGCACCTGAAACTTGGACCTGGGCCTCCCCTCCAGGCAGTGGAGAAGGCAGAAGCCGTGAATACGAACCACTTGGACATAACGCCGTCTAGGGATGTGTGAGGAAACCATTTTGGGGCTAGGGATCTCTCAGAGTCCCTAGGCATGGATCCCTGGCTGTTGGTCCACTTTCCTGCAGCTGTGAGTCCAAGTTCCTGGTGAGCTGGCCCAGAGTTCATGTGGCCCTCGCTAGGAACTGAGTCCCACGCATGCACCGTGCAAGTGGCTTCCCTCTTTTAAGTGCCTCCATCTTGCTTTCAAGGGTAGGAGGGGGCATTCCTGCCCTGCCATATAGCCTGAACTGCCTGATCCTGCCTAGTCTCAGAAGCTAAGCTGGTTCAGGCCTGGTTAGTATTTGGATGAGAGACTTGAAGCCTGCATCAAGCAGGGGGCTGGACCAGATGGCCTGTTAGGCCCCTTCCAACTGAATGATTCTATCATTCTTTCAGCACTGTGATGTAACCAGGAACACCAGTCCAAGTTCTCTATTCCATATGGTTGACAACAACTCAGAAAACCATGCTTCTGATGCACCTTCTCATCTTATGCTGGTTTAATGCAGGGGTGTTGTTATTCCTGGCAAGTAATGGTAAGCACAGACAGACTCCTATATTATGAAATGATGAAAGAAGAATTTAAGAGGACAATAGAGGCCTTTGCACGTATTTATTTCTTTAAAATCAAATTCTTTAAAAAGAAGCAGAACTGAGAAGACATGGGCTGGGTGAATGTGTAAGCTGGGTTCTGCATTTCATTCCATCTGTCTGCCGACCCCTTCGCTTCAGGGCTGTCGCTGCAGTGTGAGATTTGTGAAAGCTCTGAACTCAGCTGTGTGGGAAGCATGGATACCTGCATCAGCGAACACGACAGCTGTGCCACCATTCAGTCCGAGTTCACCGGGGGTAAGTAAAATAAATAAATGCCCACCCCCGGGATCAGGCAGAGGTGAGGCTGGTCCAAGAAGCAGCCCATGGAAGGCTGGATTAAACCTGGCTGTTGCCAGTTCTTTTGAACACCCATGTAAGAACTAATTCTCAGGACAGTGTCCATCTTGACCCTGGCATTGCATTTCCTTAACAATCCTTACAGCACAGCCTAGTCTGAGGATTGGAGGAGATGTTGTCCATTTCCCACGCTGAGATAATTGTTGAGCCTGGAGGACTAGAATTAGCATGAGGACTAGAATACTTCAAGCGGAGATGGCATAGTTGTTCCTGCTATGAAGCAATGTATTATTTATTTCCTTTTTTAAGTTAAGTAATATGCAGTGTTTAAGGGTAGAACCGTCTCAAATTGGTAATGATGGGGAAAGACCTGTTGTCATTGTTTGGTTTTTGCTGGCAACAACTACTCGATAGCCCTTTGGTGCAAAAGAGCATCACAGGAGCCGTGCTGGATTCGACCAAGCATCCATCTGTTCACACGTTGGGCTGCCTATAGAAAAGCCACAACCAAGACATGGTTTGCCCAGCCCTGGACTCTCCTGTTATGAGAAGGGGGGCGGGGAGTCGGCTGCCTGTAGGCTTCCTGTCTGCTTTCTCTATGCCAGACATAATTTTGCACACTTCTGTCTCCCCTCACTAGTCCTTTATTTAAGCCAGTTCCAGATGTTGTAATCCAGATGGTATCATAAGCCAGATGTTGTATGAGAGTCTTCCATCTTGGTTAACCTTCCAGGGGATTTTTCTCCTCATTCTCCTTCTGCAGCTGTTTCACATCTAATCACGTTCTGTTTCTGATTCCTTCTTCCAGGTGGTAACTTCTACAACTTTTTCCGACAAAGCCGTAAGTAGAAAAAGAAAACTGTGGCAGGCATTGCTGTGCTTTGCCACGCCGTTTGCTCACACCCGTCCAGCCTCATGCTGTTAGTTTTGGCCCTCTTCCGTCCTTAAAGGAATATTTAGGATTACCGCTGTGGCAAAAACCAAAATTCCTCTCACATTTTTAATCATTCTCCTCATTTCATTCGATAGAAAAGAAATTGCATGCAAAAGGAAATTCAGAGGAGAAGAAAATTTCAGAGAAATTCACAGGAGTTGGGTTTAGGGTCCTTCTGTTTCTCTTACTTTTGGGTAGCTGAGGAGTGTGTTTAAGTGCCTAGTTTTCCATGTGTTGGCTTCCCACACTTAAATTACTGTTAGATGATCAAATGATTCAATATGAGCCTTTTCCAGATCAGGAGGTACAGACTGGGAGCCTGTGGCACAATGAAGAGATATGGAAGCGGGGAGGGGGACATGCGTGCAACACCTTTGGCTGCCCCACAAGAAAAGGAGCCCGGATTTCGGCTGGCCTCCCTCCACCTTTTCCCTGGACATGCACACGGCACCCTTTCCCACAATCACACCCGCATTGTGGTGGGTCGGATGTGGAGGCCAGCCTGACAATGCAACCAATGCTGTTGCTACTTATGGTGGCAACTTGACACCCCACCCAAGTGGTCCCCCTGCCCCCCAAGAGGAAAACCTCTAGCAGAGAAAAGAGAGGAGTTACGCTGTTCAGAAAGTCTCCAGGGACATTGTCTTCCCAAGTTCTCTATCCTCGGAAAGGGTGGAGAATTCCAAGAGGCCCTTCGCACAGAGGTGTATGAGGGAGAGGTCTCACAGGTGATGGAGCCCCTCTGGCAGTGAGCTGGGTACCCTCCTCTTCCCACCACCTTCCTTCAGATCTGATGCCGCCATTGCATAAAGGGTGGGCTGGACCACAACATCGGTTCTGTTACCCTCCAGCTTTTCTCAGTGCTTCCTGTGGCTCACAAGTCCTACTAGGTTCCGAAGCGACAGTTTCTGTAGAGTCATAATCCAGTACCCTTCATATGTCTCTTCTGACCTTGGATCAAGGTACTTATTCCAGTTGTGCAGCCATGATGAAAATGTAGCCCACACCTGCTTGTGGAGGAGGTGCATCACCTGCAGAAATCCTGCAAAGCAACCCCTGGATCATCACTAAGAGGTTATCAGGTAGCAAGCATGGGAAGGGGTGCTGGAGACCAGAGAGAATGGTAGGATCAACATGTGGTTGTTTGACCAAACAAGGAGCTGTATATGAGATTTGTGTGCTTGTCTTTTATCCCACCTTCCTCCCATTGTGGAATGTAAGGCAGAGACATGCATTTCCCAGGTGGTCTCCCCTCCAAGATCAGGCCAGCCCTGGACTTGCTTAACTTCAACATGTGGATGCCTCACGTGCCTTCAGATTATACTCTGAGATGATGCATCCTGTGGGAATGGAAGGGCTCTGCCAGTTTTGCTTTCTCCCTCATTGGAATTTTTAAAACCTCAAGTTCTTTCTCAACCAAATTATAAATGGAGCTGAAATCTTCATCTTTCTGCACCAGCCAAGTTCAATGTATAGCTATTCCCAACATGAAGAGAGTGACTTTCTACCAAGCTGTCCCAATGAAAAAGAGGTGTCAGAAAAAAGAGTTGGAAGCACTTACTACTAACATAGCTGGGTACACAAGATTTTAAAGCCATATTATAAGGGCAAAATATTTAAAGCCTGGGGCCCAGGTAGATGAACCAGTTAGCTTCTGTCCCATTCTGATTTTTTAAAGTTCTCTACACCCTGAATAAGGAAATCTTTGCAGTGTTACATACATTCTTCTGCAAACTGAAGTGAGACCGTATCCAGAATATTTAACAGATCCTGTCCTGCTTTTTTCCTCACAGAGAAAAAGAAAACTTCTAAGATATGCACACAGTCCTCTAACTGCTTTCAAAACCATACCATTCTTAACGTGGGCAGAGGACAACTCTTTTCAGCAAAGCTTTCCTGCTGCTCAGGGGATACATGCAAGCGGACTGCTTTCCCCTGTAGGTAGTTCATGGATCTACCCCTCTGCCTGTTCCCCATTGTATGTAATTCACCCAGATGCCTCTTTGACTTTTCCCCAGTTAGTGCTTGCTAGGTTGAAATATAAACACCACCTACATTCTCTTTCTGCTAATGGCAATGTCAAAAACTGTGATTGCGGCTCTTCACACCATATACTTCCATTGTAGCATGTCAACAAGCCAGCTGGAAGTGCTTTCATCCAAATGAAACAGTGCACAGGCCGTTCCCGGGTTGTACACAAGGGCCACTCCTGAGAAAATGGGCATTTGCCTTTAGGTTGATGGTGCATGTAAGTTGGGTCATGTATAGTCAGCCCTCCACATTGACGGGGGTTAGGGGCACAGGAACCCCATGCAAGTGGAAAAACTGTGATTATCTATGAGCAAATTGGTGTGCGGAGAGGGGTGGTATATATACAGTCTCTTTTTGCCATTTTCCTGCCATGGAAGAAAGAACAGGGCTTAATTTTTGAAGGGGTTCTGGGGCATTAAAACACACATGACACACTGAATTCGGCTAGTCTGGGAATTGTCTCAAGGGCAAGGGCAAGACACGTTGCATCTCGTCCTTTTTTCTAACTGGGTGGGGATTGTAGCAGGCTGGGCCAATCGTGAGATTTCATACTGCCTGCCAATCAGAGAGGCTGATGCTGCAGACGGCTATTCCCTCAGCCTCAGACTTTGGGGCCTTCTGGCTGGGTTCAAGCAACATGACAAGCCATGGCAAGGTTTTGCCATTGATGGCCTGTGGTGTGAGCCCAGCCATGGCATTTGTTCATGGCAACTTAGGCCTTTAGAAACCATAAAAAGAAACAATGGTTTGCTCTATGGTTTCTCTTGTACCACCATGGCTTGCTGTGCTGTCTGAGCCCAGGATTATGCTTTCCATGGTCCTGGTATGCAATACCACAGAGTCCTCTGAAAAGAGTGACAACTGCAGGAGACACTCTAGCCATCCAGTCTCTATTGTGGAACAGTGCCTGAATTTCAGGCACAGAGGCTGACAGGTTACGTGCCAATAGTGGGAGGACTGACTGGGGAGGAAGGAGACCATAATAATCATTCAGTCTTCTGTCAGGTAGATCAAAAAAGCACAAACTATGGTAGCCACACTGGGTTGTTTGTTGTGTTGTGCAATCACAGCCTCTGTTTGGAGTACTGATTCACAGGAAATCCCTAGGCTGGACCCACCGCCTCCCCACCAGGAATGCTTCCCCGTCAGTATTATGTAGCTACCAGGTAGTAAAACGAAGCAGGCACCTGCGTCACCATCACTGGGCTTGTGCAAGACTTGCCCTCGTTGTCTCGGCAGTGTGCCAACATCATTGGCATTGGCCCACAGAAGCATTTGATGAAGATGGTTTTCCTGCTGAGCCTCTCTGCAACGTTGTCCGTCTTCCAGCCCAGGTCTGACAAGTGTCATCTTTCCCACAGTGCCCCTTGTGAACGTGACACCGAACGGGAAGCGTTGCAATGCCTGCTATTCGTACAGGCACCCCATCCTTGCATGTTGGTGGAAGCGAACAGCTCAGTGTGCTGGAGATGAAAACTATTGCATCGAGCTATACGGACGTGGAGTCTATCCATCTCCTGGCACTGTTAGATACCCAAGTAATTCTGTTCTCCCTCCCTCCCCCCCCCCCCCCACTCCCTCCTGGCAAGGGGAAGACAAGTGGGGTAAATCACTGCGTAATAGAAACGTCATCATTATGATACACTGCTAAAGCAACACATGCTGGGTTTTCAGTCTGGTTTTTGCCACGATTCGCTCAGCAGATGGCAACATATGTTTGCCTTTGTAAGCTGTTTGTGTGGGTTTATCCTGACTTTGGAGGGAGGATAAAACGTGAGCCAGCCTTTTGTGCTTCTGAGTTTCTTCCCCTCCTTCCCTTTCAACCTGGACTTTGCCCCGGAATGCGATTGCTGGCTCTCTGAGAGACAAAGAGAACCGGGGATAATGATCCCCACCGGTATTGACGTGCGCCTGATGCTGACTGCCTTTCCTTGCATTGTCTCCGCAGCACATAGCTTCAGAAGCAGGTGGCTCACCATCAAGGGCTGTGTGAACAAGGCCTATTGCGACGCCTTTCACGCGGGTCCCGTCCATGTTGCCACACTGACTGTCATCGGGACAGGGAGTTGTAAGCTTGCCTCCAAGGCAGTGAGCACTTCTGCCAGATCGCTTGGAGGCCTCCTGCTCACGGGGTTCCTGCTTGTGAAGGTCGTGGCCTGATTTCCCTCCAGCACAACCAGCCAAGGATCCTGCTTCAGGAGTTCTCCAGTGAAGAGAAGTGTGGGGTTAGGCCATATAGACCACACTTTCACAAAGAACAAAGCTCTCCTATTGTCTAAAATACAAATGCATTCATTTTTCTATGTCCCACCTGGAAATGGGGCAGAATCTTGCTTCAGTTCAGTTCCTATAAGCATTTCTTCCAATTTGCAAAATTCACTTTAATCAAGACGAAAAGCACCCTGAAATTACAATAAATATCCAGTGTTAGAGAAACTGAAACTGTCAGTTTAATTCAGCTGGACTCAGGTCTTTGAGGTCTTTGCTCTTAACATTCCGGGTCAGCCGGAATGGATACCCCAGGTCAAGAAAGGTAGTGCCAAGTCAAGTTAACAAGCCGTCTCAGGAAAACTATTACAGAAAAAGACACTTCCTTCAGAAAACAGAAATGCACAAATTGCTCAAAGGAAGACAATGAAAAATACATCTGCTTGCACATGGGAAATGCAAACAGACAATAAACAATGTAATAAAAAAAGTTTTTGTTGTTGTATCACTAACAACTTCAACCTCAACACCAACAAAAAAGAATTCTTTAAATGTATCAGATACAAGAAAACATCAGACGGATCATTGGAAGACATTGGAGATAAAGGAGGATAAGTTGCTTACAGAAAAGCTTGACACGTTCTTTTCAAGTCTCTTCATTGCAATAGGAAAGGGGAGACGTAGCATGCATTTTGCCCCCCCCCCGCCCCCCAAGTCTCTGTCCCATTGTCTGGTACATATACCCAATATTACTTCCAGTCCATTGCCACCAATGGATATATTTAATACTAACCATTTCACTTCAAGCTGCAAAATTAAAACCTAAATTGTGCTCTTGGCAACATGTCATGTGCAGCAAGTGTGTTTTCCTGGGAAAGAAAAACTTCAAATACAAATCTAATATGCTCCACATGCTTAGTTCTTAGGGACAAAATAGGAAGAAGAGCATCTGATCCTAGAAGAAAATTCAAGGAAGCTGTAGGAGATTATCCACCCATGTACCTCATTACCTGAAACCTAAGTACACCCCAAACCCTCTTAGAAAAAGGGGGTTGCACTCCCTCTGAGGGACAGGGTCCGCAGCCTGGGAGTGCTCCTCGACCCTGAGCTGTCCCTGGAAGCTCAGGTGACGGCGGTGGTGAGGAGCGCCTTCCTTCAGCTTCGGCTGATCCATCAGCTGCGTCCCTTCCTGGAGAACGACTGCCTGGCAACTGTGACACATGTGTTGGTAACTTCCCGATTAGATTTCTGCAACACGCTCTATGTGGGGCTACCCTTGAAGACGGTCCGGATACTTCAATTGGTGCAGAATAGAGCAGCCAGGTGCTGACAGGGACTGGGCGTTGTTCTCATATAACCCCAGTCCTCCGTCAGCTTCACTGGCTCCCCATTGAAGTTCCGGCCCAATTCAAGGTGTTGGTTATGACCTATAAAGCCCTCAACGGCTTGGGATCTGGATATCTAAAGGAACGCTTGTGTCCATATATGCCCTCCCGCCCCTTGAGATCGACAACAGATGCCCTTCTCTGGGAACCCTCCGTGAATGATATTAGGAGGGTGAGTACCCGGAGGAGGGCCTTCTCTGCGGTGGTGCCCTGCCTATGGAATGTGCTCCCCAGAGAGGTCCGCCTGGCGCCATCGCTATTTGTTTTTCGGCTCCAGGCCAAGACCTTTTCATTTAAAACTTATTTTAATCGTTAACTTATTATGGTATTTATAGGATTTTAAATTTTTAAGCCGAGATGCAACCGGACTTTTTAATCTCTAATTGTATTAATATGTTATTTATATGTTTTAATTATGCTGTGAGCCGCCCCGAGGCTTTGTTGCAATGGGGGCGGCATAGAAATGTTTTAAATAAATAACTGTCACTCAACCTTGAAAGCAGCGGGGGTGGGGGGAATGTTCCCTCGCATTTTGGGGAATGATCTCTTCAAAATGAAGGGAAACATCAGCCCTCCTTGACTAAGCATTTGTTGTTGTCATTTCCTTTAATTTATTCTGCACTGTCTTGGTTACTTTTGTGCAAAGGGAAAATTGAAATATTACAAATAAATTGTGAGATGGATGGATGGATGATAGATGGATAGGTAGATCATACTTTTATGCTGAATTAACATGGCTGGCTGGGAGAGTCCAGGAGTCATAGTCAAAATCATCTGGTGGGCATCAGTTCAGGAAAAAGCTGTCCAGACTGCGGGGCCACTCATGAGACCTGGATGGCTCTTCTCCCCATTCCTTCTTGCTGAGCAAACCTCCCATGGGAGGTTGTGACTCCTGGTGAAAAGTAACATATCCCACTTTATAAGTGTCTGGTTCTTCCCATGCAGAACGGGCACAAATTGAATGCAGCAAAGTGTGTGTGAAATTCTGAGTGGCTCTAGTTGTAATCCTGGCAAAGGAAACCAACAAACCTGCTTAATCGGGTTGATGATTCTTCCCCCTCCATCCTTGCTTGTAGGGGTGTCTCTGAAGTGTGGGACAACAACATTCAGTACACATGAAACTGCAGGGTGGTCTGGCTTGCTTTGCAGCATGGGTCCTCAAGCTACGGCCCACCAGCCACATCCGGCCCGCCATAGAGGTTTTGGACTCGCCGTGAATGCACGCACGAGGAAGAGGTGCCGGCTTGCTTGCAAGGAGATCGTTTTGGACTCGCTCGGAGAAAATGATCTCTGCGCACGCATGCCCCTGCCTCGCCACGGGCGCATGCATGCCCCATGCTGTCCAGGCCCGTGCCCCCCCGCCCGCACCCATCGCCGGCAGCTTTCAACTGGGCCCCTGTTGAAAACGTGTGAGGACCCCTGCTTTACAGCAAGTTGGTGCCAGCACGGGGCCAGAATCCAGGGAGCTGAACTGAGACAACCTGCCAGATTCTGACCTTCCTCCCAGATTCCCTTCTCACCCCTTTCTGGGGTGTCCCCTTCTCCAGGATAGAAATAAATGTTGCCCACAGAAACAGCAAATGGGGACTGCACCATATGGCTTTTCTCCACATTACATTTTGGTTTAAAATAAAACTCTGTACAAAGCAAGGTGTTTGAAAAGACGCTTTTTTAATTGGCTCCACTCTAGGAGACACTTACGATCCATCAATTCAGAACGATGAACTGACTGGCTACACAGCTTCAATGTGAGCAGGCTCCATGCACAAAGCCTCATTCAACCATACAGTGGATGTGAAAAACTCTTGGTTGCCAGGTTTAAGGAGGGCACACAAATCCTCTGAAGCGCAGCCTTTGATGGCAAATTGAGCGTGCCCTGCAGCTGTGGAAATAACCAAGAGGGTAGTCAGCACTGAGTTGCAGTGGATAAGGCTCAAGTCAAGGCAATGGCAACCACAGTTCTCCTCTGGGGGAATGGAAGATTCTGTGGGGAGCAACCTAGCCAAGGAATTTTGAAGGCACTCAAACATTCCAACACCAGCAACATTCCCCAGAGGATCTTCTGTGCCCAACCCTGGTTAAAAGTATATGAAAGCCAGGATGGGCCACCCACAGCCCCTGTGTGAAAGCATCAAACACCTGTTACACATCCATTGTCGGTGCCATGTGTCATCAAGGCATTCCCAACTTTTTGCAACCCTGCGAAGAAAGCCCCCCATCATGTCCCATCCCTGAGCGCCCTGCACAGCTCTTATACCTCCAAGGCGGTGGCTTCCTTAACCGAGTCAATCCACCTCATATTTGGTCTTTCTTTTTCGACTTTCCCCACCAGGAATCCAACTTTAATTATGGGCATCTGCTTTTGCTACTGACTGTATGATCAAGAGACACTTTTTGCTGCCCCAGTCAAATGCTTAGCATACCTGCATGATCATGGTTGCATTCAAAATTCACATCATTGTGTGTACACAACATCTTAGGTATGCCATCTTAGGTAGAGCCAGTTTGTGTGTGATCACAGGGGTGGACTGGGGACTTGGGAGACCTGAACTCTAGTCTCCACTCGACCATGTAGGTCACCACAGGATTTTGGAACACTGAGTCAATCTCAGTGTAACCACCTCACAGAGTTCTTCTGAGGATACCATGGAGTGGAGAAGAGCTATTAAGCTGCCCTGCGGTTCCTCACAAGAGGAAAAATGGCATTGATGATGATGATGATCATGATGATGATGATGATGATGATGGTGCACACCTAAGCTGAGCAACATGTGGCTGCGCCCCAGCTATGGAATGCGCTTCCCAGCGAGGTTCGTCTGGCGCCGACATTATATGCTTTTCAGTGCCAGGTCCAGACCTTTGTATTTGCCTGGTACTTTAAAGCTTCAATACTTTAATTAAGTTTTTATCCTCAGTCATGGGATATTATGACATAATTATTAGGATGTATTTATTAGGCTGTGTTTATTGGTGATTTGTTGCAAGCCGTCCAAAGACATACGGTAATTAGATGGGTTAGAAATGCCCAAACAAACAAATGAATGAATAAATAAATGTTAAAAAGTCCTTGGGTTCCTTAATGAAGAAAACATTAGATTTGTTGCTGTGCAACTTATGTCAAGTTTCTAAATGTTCTCACAGCCAAGGGGCTTTGAAAGTGTGTGTGTGTGTGTGTGTGTGTAATGGTGACATACATGGTCAGATTTCATCCAGGACTTGAGGGACAGTGCCTGGATTCTGACAAGATGATAACCACACTCCAGGACTGAGTATGGATTGAATCTGGGTTGCTGGCAAGCCATGCGCTGCCGCCAATGTTCAGGGTTCTTATGTTGTCTCACACCTGCTGCACTAGCCAGCTACGGCTTGTTAACAACCCCTGAAGAGAACATGTGGGTTTTTCCTTGGTTGTGAATCATAGGTTGTTCACTACAGAAGAGAACAAAACTGAGAAAAGATAAGGAGCAGGTCATCGCCTGTCAAGATGAAGGGCAGGGCAGACATCCATTGAAAAACATGAAATTGCTACCTGTTGCATTTAGAATGATTGACATGCACTTGGTGTTAGACCCAGTACACTCGACAGGTTGCGGGTAACATTTGCTCGAGAACATTCCCACACATCCAGGACACTGAAGATTATTGGATTTGATGTCAGGTGCCGATAACTCTGGAAATAAAATAGAGGGTTTTACTGGTGCTGGCACGAATCTGTCCCCAGGCTCATTGGCTCTGATCAGTGCCAAGTGGATTGGGGATGGGGAGAATAGGACCATTTGCAGAAGGGCAGGGGATACACCAAACAAGCTGCAACAACCAGCTTTCTCTTCTGGAGTTGGATTTGGGGAGGTAAAGCCCAAATGTCCCAAGCTGCTGAGAAGATACAGAGACTCTGCAAAGTCCAGAGGAGAACATCCAGACCAGAAGGAGCTGCGGCATCCACAGCATGAGATGCATCCCGCTCCCTACTTCTCAGGTTAGAAAACTGTGGCTTAGACAGGGATGGGAGGAGAAATCCACTTGGTTCAAATTTTAATATGAACTCACCGTATTTACACTTCCCAAGTGGATTCACAAGTTGGAATGTAATTATTCTTTGGTTTTGGACTTCTTCACCTTTTACAATGCAGTTGTCTGACCAAAGCTGGTTTACAAGGAGACATGCTTGCAGAGGTCTTTCTGTAGTTGATTCTACCCCCCCCCCCCGCCCTCCAACTGCTGAAAGATCAATAGATTCAGGGGGGTCACCAAACATGTTCTCTGTACATCCATACCGGGGGGTGGAAGGGTGCGGCACTTTTCCCCAGTGCAGCAAGACCTGTGGACTCTCATTCGCAGTCCTTTTCCCACTTCTACTTCAGGTTGTCCGTATTCGCAGCTGCTGAGTTTGCCACACTCCTTGACGTTCAATGTAACTGTTATGTAATCTGTGTGAATAAGGAAGACAGAAACACGTCTTTCATTAAAACTGGAGGGAACAGGAGACTCTGGGGACATGGTTTCCTCCACTTCTCCTCAAGGATGAGTTCTTTCTCTGAGCCATCCACGTGCTCTGTCAGAATGAACCTGGACTGCAGAGTTCGGCATCGCAGGTCGCTCCTACAGCATTCAAAAATACTGCTGACATAGAAGGCACCACCTTTCCCCGTTATCTGTTGACCCAGGGACACATTGCCATATGGACAAGTGACACTATCTAGTAAACAAGGTGGCATATAGATGTTAATAATTACATTTTAAAAATCAGAAATGCAACTTGCACAGTATCAATTGCTGGAAGATATCAAATCTAGGGGCATGTGCTGGTCTCTTGTAAAGTCGTGCCCAGCTCTTCATAACCCCATGGTCAACCTTCCTCCAGGTTCTCCTGTCCTCCGCCATCCCCCGAAGTCCACCCAAGCCCACTCCCACCTCTTCAGTGACCCCATCCAGCCACCTCAACCTTCACCATCCCTTCTCCTGTTGCCTTCAATCGTTCCCAGCACTGGATCTTCTCCAGGGAGTCCTTCCTTCTCATTCGGTGGCCAAAGTATTTGACCTTCAGCTTTAGCATCAGGCCTTCTAAAGAACAGTCAGAGTTGATTTTCTGTAGGAGTGACTGATTTGATTTATACTCTGTACTAAATGAATAATATTGTATGGGTCACCTAGGGAGGCCATTCTGGCAGCTAAAGGTGGCATATACATTTGTGAATAAATAAATGAGTAAGAAGGTAAAAAGGTAAGAGCCCCAGGGCAAGAAATGTAAGGCCCTGCCATCTCCAGCATGCAAATCCTGATGACGTGGGTTTGCTTGTTTTTTCTCCCTGTTTTTGTTATCATGCTGCAGGGCAAGGAACCCCACAGGATGACAGTGAATGCTTTCCTGCCCACTGCAATGCAGGTCCAAGACCTTGAGATGTTACTGCCCGTATGTTCCAGGCCATGCGTCCAACCATCAGGACTAGATCCTTATGGTTGGGTGCACAGGTGTTGCCAGGCAACCCTGAGATTGCCAAGAGACCATTTCCCAACAAGACCTTACAAAGTAAGTTAGCTCAGAGTTCCCTCGTAACTGCAGCCGGATTGAGGGTGCTTGAAACTCACAGGTCTGGCACAATGAGGACAACCCCAACATCTGGGCACCTAACATCACACATCTCCTCATGGAAGACCCTCTCAGCTTTTCGGGGTTAAATGTGTGGGTTAAGTTCAAGCCTTCCCCTCTCAAACTGTACTACTTGGGCTTGAACTCTGTGGCGGCCAGGCTCCTCCCTTGGTGACCTCTGTGCTAGCCCAAGTTTTCAAAGCCATGTACCTTGCATCAGCTCATATATGGAATGAATGCATGTGTCTTGTTCCTCAGCACAATTCTGCATGTGGCCCTCACATGTTTTGCTCAAACCTGTGCAGATCTCACACTGAAGACAGGTGCCTGGAGAAGGAAAACAAACAGGTATTTTTTCCAGGGAATCACCAAAGTGTTCAAAGAGCAATTCCTGTGGCTGCTATTAGGTCGCCCATGTGTCCTCATCATTGACCTGCTGAGTATCTGCCTGGTCCAATGCTTAGAACAGATCGCTCAAAAACTGGTTTCTGTAGGACTGTAGAGGCCATTTCTTTTCCCTGAAGATTCCCCTCAAGCGGCAACCACATTCCAGTTCTACTAAACACCGGTGAGCTCCTTTCACAGATTCCTTGGACTTGAGCTGGGCTTTGGGATTCTCCACATTGGGATTGTCCTGTGTGGCAGGACAGCACTCTTCAAATTGCTGAAGGCTGATCATATTAAAGAAAGAAAAGGTCTATTGGAAGCGGTCCCAGGAGGGACCATCGCAGCCAAATGTTAGGTGACCTGCTTAACTGTGAAAGCGCCTGACAATGGAAGCAACGGAAGCCACTGCCTGGGACGGTGGTGGGGTTTCCCTTACTGCCAGTGTGTAAGCAACGATCCCTTACAGACAGGGATGACGGAGAAGTTTGTTTCAGTGTGCAAATCACTCAGAAATGTCCCATTCACCAGCTTAAACAAACGTGAGCAGGAGCAGACTGTTCACAGCTTCCTGAACTTATGTTCACATTCTCAGAATGGAGACTGGAACTCTACCTAACTTGCCCAACATGTGAAACTGTCTCAAAGAGGCAACATCTCTTGTTCCTGCAGAAGTCAGAGTCTGGGGCAGCTGCTCAGATCACTAATGGGAATGCCTCACCTGTAGCTAAGAGAGCCCCAAAGAGGCAGCAAACAAGGAGAGACCGCATGGTGAATCACAAAAGATGCAGAAAGTTGAGCTCGTAGGTTGAAGTCTGGCCAGAGGGGACTGAAAGAGACACCAGAAATCCATTTGTAGTATTTCTTCCACATTATGACTTGTGTTCCTGCAATACAGGCTCCAGATATTCCCCTGCATGAAAGCATTGCTCAGAGTTGCACTGCATCCTTGTTTCTAGTGTCTTTTGGCATGAAGGGTGGATTCTGCAAGCTTTTGCAAGGGAAGAATGGCATAAAGAACATCAACTGCAAAATCTGAACAAGCAGCATCAGCAGTCTTGCAGGAAAAGATTAGAATTGCAAGAGGCCTGCTTTAAAATCCTCACTCAGCATGCCGAGCTTTCCTGAGCCCTTCAGCCAGGGGTCTGTTTGCTTCAAGTGCGTGGGAAAGGTGGTGAGTCTTGCAGGGAAGAAATAAAGGGGGACGTCTGTATGTTAAGCCTGGAGGGTTTCTGCGTCCTGCTAACCTGCCCTGTCAATAAGCCACAGTGAGCAGGGGGTCGGGGGGACTGTTGAAAGCAACACACTGTGCATCTGACAGAAGGCTGGGAACACGGTGAGTCGCTCTCCTCCCCACACCTTGCTCCCCCAGGTGGCATCTTCGGGCAAAACTGATCTTTCGCTCCCTCCTTGCTGAGATCGAGCGTCATGTTGCCCTCACCATTGCTCTGCTCCCTTCCCCACCCCTTTTTGTCACCCAGGGACAGCTTTTTCTAAGTGCCCGAGTGGCATATTGGAAGGGCTATAGATGGTTGGTCCCCTTCTCTGTTTGCTTTTTCAATACCCTCCAAACATGCGACATTTTTCATTATTTCTCATTCCTGTTTTCCTCTTCAGAGTTGCACAAGTACAGAGTTGCACAGTTCTGCCAGTCCAAAGTGAGAGGCTTCACTGGGGAAGAGCCAGGGGAATGGCTGCCCAAGTGGGGCCGATGCCAGCCCCGGACGTTGACCCACTGAGGCTCCAGGCGGGTCTCTTATTTACGCTGCTTTCCCCGGGCGAAAGGCAAAACATGAGCTGTCAAGGCCAAGCAAAGGAGGGGCTACGCTTGCCAGAAGGGGGCAGTGCGATTTTCATCTTGTTTTTCTTGTTTTGTAGAGCTGCTAGTGTCTCCTTTAAAATGGGATTTTACAGGGTAACTTTTCAAAGGACATTTAGCTGCTATATTTATTCATTTATTTAAAGCGTTTCTGTGCCGTCCATTACTAAAAAGTCTCTGGGTGGCTTGCAAGCAACAGAAGCCATAACAGCAACAATGCACAGCACGCTGCATCTAAAAATAGTGATAGAAGCAAGGATGAAACCACTTAATGGTTAAAACACCAAGAAAATAAAAAGGTCTAAGCCTGTTGCCGAAAAGAATAGAGTGACGGTGGCTGGTGAACCTCCCTGGGGAGCATATTCCACAGTCGGGGTAACACCGCAGAAAGGGCCCTTCTCGGAGTAACTGCCCTCCTGTTGTCCTTCAAAGAGGGTTCCCGGAGAAAGGCCTCTGCCTCTGATCTCAAGCGGAGGATCAGCACACCGGGGAGAAGGCACTCCTTCATATAGACGGTTTTAAATTTTATATTGTAAACTTTTATGACTTCAAAACATTTTAATATGCTTTGCTTTTATGCCTCTTTTATTGTCATCTTTCCTTAATGGGCTGTTGTGAACTTTGGCCCTTGGACAGTATTGGAAACGAAAGGACGCATGATTGCCCAGGGCAAGCACCTTCGTTCAGACCCATGCCTGAGGAGGAACAAGTGCAATTTAAAGGAAAAAAGCCGCCCCCTCCCCAAAGCCGCACACTTGGGGTTCGTTTTTTCAATGGCCAATCCATGCTAATTCTGCCAACGTGCCGTTGGATCCCTTTGGAAAGGCTGCAACTGGCAACAGCATGGGTAACATCACGAAAAGTCCCAAGGGTGGGTTTTTTCCTGCTCTTGCCAAGTCCCTTGCTTGCCTAGGGTCAGACGGCAGAACAACCATCATTGGTAAAACAGCCATTGCAAGATCCCATGGGCTCTCATGGTGGCTTGTCCAGAAACAGCAACCCACCGTGCCTGCGCGAGACTGAGTTCATACTATGTGACAACTCACCATGGTTGGAAACCCGCAGCAGGTTGTCATGCATGGCCTCCCAACCAGCTCACTGATTTTCACAATGGAAAACCAGAAAGGCCAATGTCGTGAGTAAGTCATATCACCCTGAGGCTGCAGCCGGGCTTTCCTTGGGGAAGCATTCCAACCCCCTGAGAAGAAAGTTCTGCTTACCAAAAGCTCCAAGCAGCTGTAGCAACTGATCTCTGCCGAAGATTCCCAGTCGGATGAGCACAGCAGAGCATTCTCCCTCCATGCCCCACTATATAATAGCAGGCTGTGATGTCATCTTTTGGATCCTTCTCCCAGCTATCCATCAGCCATCCAGGCAAATGTCCTAACATATGAACAAAAGAGTAAACAGATAAACCAGGAGTGGATGGAAATTTTCAAGGTGAGCATGAGGTCAGGAGATGGACTATGAGAGAAAAACCTCCGTGGCGTGCTTCTGGTTATGGGTCACTTATGGAAATAACCAGCTTTGTCCTCTCATCTACAGAACTCAGCAGGATTGCAAACCTTAGCAAGGTGCAAAACCTGCGTGCAAAATTATTAAAGTGTGTTTTGCTGCCCATGAAATCCCTTCTCTCCCTCCCTCTCTGCCTCTCTCTCTCTCTCTCTCCTCTTCCCATCCCGAAAGAGAGAATCCTAATTCAACTTCCATTCTAGGAAAAAACAGTCTGACATTTGTTGAATCCCTTGATTTTTTTGGCAGCTACTAGGTAGATGGAGAACATCAGCGTCTTTTCCAGTGAGTTGTTCTTTCTCATTAGGTGGCCAAAGTATTTGAGTCTCATGGATTTCGTCTCATTCCCCTTCTTGGATCCTGCCCTGCCAAGGTGAAGGGGCTTGTGTAGCACAATGAAGCTATGAGCTATGCAGGAGCCCCCAAGACGGACGGGTCATCCAGAGAGCTCTGACAAAAGGTGATCCACTGGAGAAGGAAATGGCAACCCACTCCAGTTGACTTGCCACAAAAACCCCATGGACAAAGACAAAGAGAAAAAAAAAACCTTTTCGTAAAACTAGAGAGCAAGGGGAGTCAGTTGAATGAAAGTTCCCCAGGCTTATTATCAATTATAATAAGTCCAAAATTAATGGATGCATTTCAGTAATTGTGGCCTGATGATGTGGACAAGGTGCTTGGACAAGTACGTCCCACCACTTGCCTATTGGACCCTTGCCCGTCTTGGTTAATAAATAACTCCAAGCACGGGATTGGGATCTGGATCTTGGAAGTGGTTAACGCTTCGCTGAGGGAGGGTCGGGTACCTGCCCCTTTAAAGGAGGCAGTAGTCCGACTGGTCCTGAAGAAAGCATCACTGGATCCAGAGATGGCCACTAATTATAGACCAGTGGCCAACATCCTGTTTCTGGGCAAGGTATTGGAGCGGGTGGTGGCGGGACAACTCCAAGCACTCTTGGATGAAACTAATTATCTGGACCCATTTCAGACTGGCTTCAGACCTGGGTACGGTACTGAATCTGCCTTGGTCGCCCTGTACGATGACCTGTGCAGAGAGAAGGACAGGGGGAGTGTGTCCCTGTTGGTTCTCCTGGACCACTCAGTGGCTTTCGATACCATCGACCATGGAATCCTTCTGGATAGGCTAGCGGGACTGGGGGTCGGAGGCACTGCTTTGCAGTGGTTCCGTTCCTATCTCAATGGCCGATTCCAGAAGGTGGTGCTGGGGGGCTATGGCTCTGCACCATGGCAGCTATGCCATGGAGTGTCGCAGGGGTCCATTTTGTCCCCCTTGCTATTTAACATCTACATGAAACTGCTGGGAGAGGTCATCAGGAGGTGTGGGCTGCGGAATCATCAGTATGCTGATGATACCCAGCTCTACCTCTCGTTCTCCACCAATCCAGGTGAGGCAGTGGCTGTGCTGAACTGGTGCCTGGCCGAGGTAATGGGCTGGATGAGGGCCAATAAACTGAAGCTCAGTCCAGACAAGACGGAGGTCCTGTTGGTTGGCGGATCGGGCTTTGGGTAAGGTGAATTGAACCTAGTCCTGAATGGGGTTGCACTCCCTCTTAGGGACAAGGTCCGCAGCCTGGGAGTGCTCCTCGACCCAGAGCTTTCATTGGAAGCTCAGGTGACAGCGGTGGCAAGGAGCGCTTTCTTTCAGCTTCGGCTGATCCATCAGCTGCACCCCTACCTGGAGAACGACTGCCTGGCGACAGTGACACATGCGTTGGTGACTTCTCGACTTGACTTCTGTAATGCGCTCTACGTGGGGCTGCACTTGAAGATGGTCCGGATACTTCAATTGGTTCAAAATAGAGCTGCCAGGCTGCTGACGGGGACTGGGCGTTATGTTCACATGACTCCAGTCCTCCGTCAGCTTCACTGGCTTCCCATTGAAGTCCAGGCCCAATTCAAGGTGTTGGTGATGACCTATAAAGCCCTTAATGGCTTGGGTCCTGGTTACCTGAAGGAGCGCTTGCATCCATATATGCCCACCTTCCCCTTGAGATCATTGGGAGAGGCCCTTCTCCGGGAACCCTCCGTGAAGGAAATTAGGAGGGTAAGTACTCAGAGGAGGGCTTTCTCTGTGGTGGCGCCCAATCTATGGAATGCACTCCCCAGAGAGGTCCGCCTGGCACTGTTGTTATTTGTTTTTCGGCACCAGGCCAAGACCTTTTAATTCAAACGTTATTTTAATTGTTAATATTATTTATCTATTTTATTCTTTGGCCAGGGCAACTTAAATTATACTGTTAAATTATATTGTTTTATCTTATTTATTTATGATTGTGAGCCACCTCGAGGCTTTGGCGAATGGGGCGGCATAGAAGTTCTCCAAATAAATAAATAAATAATCAATTAATGCAAGGGCACACTTCCTTGTAGATAAATAGCACATTTTTAGCAAACCAGGTAGTACGTGATGTAAATAATTGAATAAAAATAAATCAAACATGAAGCCCCCCAAAATCAATTGCGAGAACACACCAGACTAAGGGCCATGTGTACTCTGCATTAAATAAATAAGTCTTGCAGGCAACGGAAAGGGGACTTTGTAGTTTGTATACATTAAGCCAATCCAAGGAATTAAGGTACATTTGCTCAATTTCTTGTGCAATTCCCTGTTGTTGCAATCTTGGTGAGGGAACTGTAGAAGACAATGAAACCCCGCTCAGCCTTGACCTCTGCAAAGTACACCCAGGCTTCTGCGCTTTCATTGCCCATGCATGTACAGCCCTGCTTTCCTCCATAAGGGCTAGAATCCTTAGGGCAGGATGGGTTTGCAGAGCAGCAAATGAGTGCTGAGATTCCCAAGTGGTCAAATACGAAATGGACCAGACCAAGTTATCTAGTTGAGAATTTCCTTGGCAGGGACAGAAGAAGAGTCATGCTGGACAAGACTGGTGGTCCAGTTAACTCTGGAATTTGCTGCCACGGGAAGTGGTGACGGCCACCAATATGGATGTCCTTCAAGGCTACCACTGGATACTAGTCTTGTGAACTGTGGGCTCCCTCCTTCACCGGTGGTGGCATGCCTACATGCACCAGTTGCTGAGGGGCTTGGGCAGGAGGCGGTCTTGCACCCATCCTGCTGGGGGGATCCTGCGGACAGCTGGTTTGCCACTGTGTGTACGGAGTTCTGGACTAGATCCACCTTTGGTCTCCTGTTCTGGTGTTCCCATGGTCCATCTAGCCCAGCGTTCTATTACACAGTGACCAACCAGCTGTCCAAAGATGAGGAAGATGCTCAAGGAAACATGAGGGCAATAGCACCCTCCCGCCCATGTTCCACAGGAGAAGATGAGCCAGTGGCCATCAGACCAGTAGCCCTGGATTGCCCTCTCCTCCATGAACATGTTAAACTCATTTTGTAGCCATCAAGGGGGTGGCCTTCACTACATCTTGCAGAAATGAGTTCCATGGTGTCGCTATGCATTGTATGAAAAGGTACTTCCCTCTTATCTCCTGCCAGTCATCTTCACAGAATGACCCTAGTTCTGTTGTTAGGGAAGACATGCAAATGCTTTCCTCTCCTCAGTCTCCACGCCATGCATTATTCAGGACATCTCTACCACGCCTCCCCTTACTGTCCTATTTTCTACGGTAAAGGATATGCTTGATACTTTAGCCCGTCCCTGTTGGCTTGGGGCCAGACCGCCACTGGGAAATCACTCCCAAGGGCTTATCTGACATGGAGTTCAGCCCTGACACCTAAAGGAGATCGACACGCCCTAACATGGAGCCTTTTGGCAGCACTGGCAGAGCAGCTTTCGCACAGCACATCTTTCATGGAGACCTGTCGTTGGAACTGCAAGGGCCCGCGTGGAAGTGCGTACGGATGAGCACACGTTCATGTGCTGGCTGACCTGCAGTTGCGCCCCCAGACATAATCATGCAGGAATACTGGTCCCTGTTACAGAAGCCTTCTTCCGCCCCGTGCAGGTTAATAGCAGGATGGGCACACCTTCCCGTGGAGTTTTGCCTTAATGAATAAAACCATGAGAATTTGGGATGGGGAAAGAGCAAAGGGACTAGCAGCCATTTCTACTTTTCAGTTGCTCCATCGGCTTTGTTTCAAAGTCCCTGGCCGGCTTTGGGGAAAGGCATCCATGGCTTGAGAGAGAGGAAGACGCAGGTTCAGTACGCCACCCCTTCCCCTTAGTTGAAAGGTGTAGAAGGTGGACCTCCATGATTCAGCCCAGGTGACGTGGCACAGAACTGGGCTAATTAGTCCCACATGCCTGCCCAGGGATCACGCAGAGTTGCAGGCCTCTGTTTGAACCATGCTCACCATCCTGGAGTTTTGACCGCTGGGTGTCCTGAAGTCTTGTTTGCTGGCCCTTTAGAGGGCAGGTGTGCCGTTGACTTTGGGACTCATGTTGATCCAGCTACAGCAAATGAACTGCAGTGCAAACTGTCGGCCTTGTTTGCACAACCATCCGGGTTGATCTGCAGTGTCGTTTCCTCCGTAAAGATGTGTTTTCATTTTCCTGTTGCAATTAAAATCTCATTGCAGTGAGATTTTGTTTTGTCTCCAAATGAAAATGCACATTGTTTTGCCGCAATTTGGCAGTTCAATGGCAGCTATTTCAGGGTGGGGGGCACCAAAGAGTGTCAGGGGGCACAATGTTCTTTATCATTAGGAGCACAGTTCAAGCTTGTCAAGGCTGTCCGTTACCTTTCGGTTCTCCTTGATCTAATTCCTGAACATGCACATCTTTTCCCCCAAGACAGGAACAATCTGCATTTTCAAGCAGAAAAAAATGTGTCTTTCTAGAATATCCACCTAAATGCTCACTTTCTGCTCATTG